GCTCAGGCCTCTTAATTAAGGTTCGCACTTTTGAGGTGTTAATAACCCCGGGAGTTCCCTCAAACCCGACGCCCAAAGCTCGGGATCCTGAAGCACTTGCACCCTTAAGCCCTGAACCCGAAAAAAGCCTGCACCCTGAAAACCCTAAACCCTTTAAAACGCCCTAAACCCGAAAAAACCCTCAAAGCGCTTGAGCTTACAGCCCCGGAACCCAAACCCTCCGCCCTCCGTCGTCTTCCCACGGCGCCTCCCGTGAGAGGTGCAAAGGCGCCACAGGCTTTCCGGCCCTTAATTAGGAGATACGGGAACCTAGACATGAAAATCGCTGCTTCAAGTCGAGCGGGACCTCGATTGGATTGGTGGATGTGGGGTTGCGGGAGGTAGGGAGTAGCGCCTATAAACCCTAACAAGGTCTCACGTTCGGCTTTTACGCGTAGTTCTTATAGGTGGCTTACTTAAGAAACGAGGTTTTGGGCTCAGACCTTACTTCCGCCAGCCCGCCTAGCCCCACAAAATTCCAACCCGAAACCCTAAACCCGAAACACTAAACCCAGAGAAGGCCGCGCGGGAGCAGCTCCTCCGCAAGCGGCGGACTGCGGTGGTCCAGCTGCCGCGTTTGCTGTTGCGCACTTTGGGATTAGCGCTTGGCCTTGTTTGGCCCTTGTTGGACCTTTCAGCTCTCAAGGATGCGCCTCTTTCAAGGGCCTTGTGATGTATCTGCATGCAGCACTTCGACTACTTCGCGTACGTCCAAACACAGAGATGAGTCTTGTAAGAGGCTTACATGGTCAGTTCTCTAAATTAGAGGGGCCGCCGTATAATGAGGACCTCAAAGGGACCATCTTCAAGAGAAGAATTCTACACAGTTCAGAGAGGTTTTTGTGAACAGTAGCAACTGGGCTTCGAGCTGAGGAGGGTTGAGGGAATCTGGGGGTTTAGGGTTTAGGGTTCAGGGTTCAGGGTTTAGGGTTCAGGGTTGAGGGTTGAGGGTTTAGGGTTACACAGTCCATGCCAGGAGATGCAGAAGGTTGACTTCACTCCCTCCTGGGCCCAGGCGCAATCCGAGGAACTCCTGCCGGCTTTGGGAGTATGGGGTTCAGGGGTTTGGGGGTTTGGGGTTTAGGGCCGGTAATTAGGGTTAGGGTTTAGGGTTTAGGGCTCAGGGTTTAGGGTTCAGGGTTAGGGGTTTAGGGTTCAGGGTTCAGGGTTTGGGGTTTAGGGTTCAGGGTTTAGGGTTTACGGATCCCAGAGGAGAGGGGCGGGCCGGGAGGCAGTCGTTTCATGTCATGGGTAGGTGTTTCGGGTTTAGGGTTTAGAAATCAGTGCTGCAAGAGCCTTTCGAGCCCTGCTGCCACGGCACATGTGCTCGCACAAACCTGTGGGGACGTCCGGAACCCTAAGCTTAAAACCTTAAACCAATCAACTTCAACCTACATCCTGGAGTCTCTTCCAATCAACCGTGCAAGCCTACGCAATCACCCTAAATAAGCTGCACTCCCTGAGATGTTGAGTGTCATGAGTATCAGTCTAGTCATCGTTATTTTCATGAAGATTATATTTGCATATTCATCTTTTGTTTATTGGGTCATGGAGGGTTTGGTCATTCACGCATGGAGATTGCGGGATTTGGGAAGAGGAGGCTGACCTCTAAACTAAACCCTAAACCACAGCTCTGCAAGTACATAGACTGATATCCATCCTCTCCCATGAGCACTATCACTTCCATGACGGCTTAGAAGCTCACATCTGAGCCCTAAAACCTCAACCCCAAAGCCTCGAAACCCCACAAACCCCTTGTAAACCCCTAGTCCTTTCACAAAACCAGTTAGGGCAAGCCCTAAACCCAAAGCCCGAAAACCTAACCCCCCTAGGGTCCCACAGCAGCAGCCACCCTTTGAGTCGCAGGACCTGAGCCTGCTCAGACTCATCATCGCCGCGGGCTGCTCAAACACAGAGGGACGCACTAACCCTGGGAAGCAATGAACCTTAGGGTTTAGGGTTTAGGGTTTGGGGTTTGGGGTTTAGGGTTTGGGGTCTTGCTCTATGCTACTATAGAAAGCAATCTAAAAGGGTTCATCTGGTTCCCAAGGAAGGGGCTCGTCAGGTTGCATGAGCTACGTGGCACGGCCCAGTGCCTTCCTTGAAAGACAAGATATGTGCGGAACAGCAGTCCAGGTTGTATGTATGTATATATATATATATATATATATTTCTTTATTTATATTATATATATATATATATGTGTGTGTGTGTGTTGCAGACATTTTTCAGTATATATATATATATACATGAATCAATATGTTTATATATATATATACACACACACTCTCTGTGTGTGTGTGTTTTTATTCATCCTAGCATGAACAAATACACCATATGTGTACATACATACATGTATTATACAAATATGTACCGCTCTCGCAATTGTGTTTTTTTCAATCAGTCCTGCTTTGGCATGGGCACGTGAGGGGTAGGCTCCATTCGTGGCTGCTTGTGGTTTATGGGGTTTAGGGCTCGGAGACCTGGGTTGAACCGCTTAGGGTTTAGGGCTTAGGGTTTCTGAGAAACCTGGGGTTTGGAGCACCAGGTCAACAACGTGACTTCCAACTCAGACAGGGAAGACGTCCCAACGCAGGCGCCGGTTAGCTTCCCTTACAAAAGGCCCCGTGTGATCCTCACCCCTGACCCCTAATCCCGAAACCCGGCTCCTATCAATGCAATTACAACAACTTAGCTTGCCGGAGATTCCTCGCTTGTTGGGCGCCCTGTTTTGATTTTTGCGGTTGCGAGAGTTGAGGATTCTACAAGATACGCCTAGTCGGGGGGTTTGTATGGCTTGCATAGCTTAGGGTCTAGGATTGAATAAGTTTATGTAGGGAGATACACACGCCTCTTGAACCTTATGATCTTCTGTAAGCGCAGTCCAGTACTGATGTTTTTCAAAGGTTCAGACCGTGACCCAAGGCTGTAAACCCTACACCCTAAACTCTAAACCCTAAACCCTAAACCCTAACCCTAAACCCTGAAGCCTAAACCCTAAACCCTAAGCCCTACCCCTTAGCCCTCAGCCCGAAACCTTAAACCCGAAAATCTTACGGGGTTTGGGAAGGGTTCAGCTTGTCGGGCGACCCTCCTCTGCCGACTCTCAGTCTGCAAGCCGTTTGCCCCTCGGCTTTCCAGACTGGGTTTAGGGTTTGGGGGTTTAGGGTTTAGGGGTTTAGGGGTTTAGGGTTTAGGGGTTTAGGGGTTTAGGGGTTTAGGGTTTAGGGGTTTAGGGTTTAGGGGTTAGGGGTTTAGGGGTTCAGGGTGTAGGGGTTTAGGGGTTTAGGGGTGGTCCCTCTCATTCTTTGGGTTCGGGCTGTCATACGGCGCATCATGCCCTAAACTCCTCCCATGCTGAAGGCCTAAAATGTTGTACCCTTAAGGTTTAGGGTTTAGGGTTGGTTTAGGGATTAGGGTTTAGGGTTTAGGGCTTAAAGGGTTTAGGGTTGAAGCTCTAAACCCTAAGCGGATCACCCCGTCGAACCCCACGACGCGGCAGGGGGCTGACCTGGCGGTGGTAGCTGCCGAGAAGCTCCTCCGGTGCATCAACGCGATTGTGGAGGAGACGGGGCATGGCGGCTGAGGGTTTTGGCAAGTTTAGGGTTCAGTGTTCAGGGTTTAGGGGTTAGGTTTGCGAAGTTCGGGGTAGTAGGGCGTAGGGTTCAGGAAATGACGGTTTCGGGTTTAGGAAATGAGGGTTCAGGGGCTTAGGATGGTTTAGGAAACTATAGGCTTCAGGGTTTAGGAAGTTAGGGTTTAGAGTTGTCGGCTTGTTTCCTCACTGGAAGGCTGTATCAGTTGAACCTGCTTGTGGCTGCAGGAGAAGCGCGCTCAGTTTCTGCATCTGAGGCAGGATCCTTTTGAGTGAAGAAGCAGAATCACAGTGCCGGTTGCAGTTTGCAGCCCGTGCTCGTACACTAAAGCCATAAACCGACCGTAAACCCTAGAGCCTAAAAACCCTAAACCTTTATAACTTAGCAAGACCGGAACCGCGCTTGCCACTCTGGACAGGCTTCAGTGGCTGGTGTTCCACCTGCACAGCAAGACAACTGTGTGACATGGGCATCGTCTTGCCCGTGACGGTGAACGAGAGCGAGAACAGCGAGAGAGAGAGGGAGGGAGGGAGGGAGGGAGGGAGAGAGAGAGAGAGAGAGAAAGATCGCTGAACAATCATGAGCTGAAAATGCCGGCTGCTTCATGACAAAGCCTAGCTCAAGTTCATGCGCCTTTGTGACTGCGATTACTTTGCATTGTAACTGTGCAGACCTTGCTTCACCCTTCACAATCGGGCTTTCGGGTTTAGGCCTTAGGGTCTGAGACAGAACCGAAGCGACAGGCTATGTACGGCACTTCCACTATGGGTTCCCGTACTACCCCCCTCTATACCACCCCCCCTAGGTTTCCCCCTTAAAGAACCTCAATTGGGCTGAATTATCGCTAACTAGCCTGAATTATGGGGGGAACCTAGGGGGTAAACCCTAAATCTCAAACCCTAAACCCCAGGAATAAGGGGGGGGGGGGGTAGTAGTGGAACCCATGATTCGCGTGGGCCAGGACCGAAGAGAAGTTCAAGCTGCCAGACTCCCTGGAGACGCCCCGGTCGCAGCACGCGCAGAATGTGCGGGAGGTGCAAGCGGAAGATCGGGATCTCATTCATGCTAGTGCAGGGTTTAGGGTTGAGGGTTGAGGGTTTAGGGTTTAGGGGTTACTGCCATGATGACGACCACTAGGTCACTAGTGAGTGACTACCATGACCATTGCGATTCGATATTTTCGTGTTGGCGATCTCTGTGACGAATATGTCTAAGCAGTATATTGCTGCCTTCCTATGCGGTGGCGTCATCAGATAACATACTGCCATCATGACCATGATTGCCCGTCTCCTTCGTGGTTCCTCAAGCACCTTGTTTTTCCGAGCTCTTGCGTTGCTGAACATTACCCTGAGTCTCGTTCTCGCCATGGCTAGCCCCGCCGACATGAACCGGGACTTCGAGATGCTGCGGGCGCACCTGATGGCCGTGCTCCGCGCGCACGAGACCACCGCCGACAGGGTCAGCTCGCCCCGCTCCGCGTGGACGGGCGAGGCAGCCGGTGAGAGTGAGGGCCCAACGATCCTTCCCAAGAAGGTCCTCGGACTCATGGACATGATTGACAAGCACCTTACTTCTCCAACAGCTGAACTTTAAACTTTTTGGTGGTCTCCGTATTTAGTAGGAATAAAAAAAGTTTAACCTTTTTTTTCCCCCTGGGTTGTTGGAGAAGAAAGGTACAGCTTGAAAGGGCAGGCGGTCTTCCCAGAGATCGTCGAGTACGTGGGAAAGATGACCGCCAGCGAGCTGCAGGTTGCCGGCCGCGTTCCTGGGATGCCCAGCAGGGGACCCTTATTCCCTTTTTTAAGGGTTTAGGGTTTAGGGTTTAGGGTTTTTAGGTTCCTTAACAACCACCTTTAAGCAAAAAAGGGCAGCCTGCGGAATCCTAGGTTACTGGGCAACCTAGGTTCTCATGGACACATCGCTCCAGGCGGACTTGGCAGAGTCCCACCATCGCCTCCGGGCTTTCAAGGCACCGGGAAGAAGTTTGCTCCAACTTCCGGGGCCCTCCTTATCTTGGGCCCCTATGTTTAGGGTTTAGGGTTTAGGGTTTAGGGTTTAGGGTTTAGGGTTTCACTCCCCTTCAAGAATGGCACCCCCCCCCCCCAGTCCAGTAGTTGCGCGAGAGTTGGATCTGCTTGCAGATGGCCGTGTCGCATGAAGACGACACCAATGACCTCGCCAGCCTCACCTGGAAGGGACCCGAAGATGCACAGTAAGCAGCCTTCTCCCCTTCTTTTTTTGAGAGCCAAGGTTCCCTTGCAACAAAAAAGAAGACACCTCATTTAATTTAAGTAAGACAGGGTCGAGCCCTAAACCCTAAACCCTAAACCCTAAACCTTCAACCCTCAATCCTCAACCCTCAACCCTCAACCCTAAACCCAAAACCCAAAACCCTAAACCCGAAACCCTAAACCCTAAACCCTAAACCCTAGTTTTGTCTCGCAGGTTACTTGGGAACCGAGGTCTCCTGAAGCGCATGGTGGCCGAAGGTGTGAAGCCCGAGAAGATCCGCGAGGCTTGGGTTTAGGGTTTAGGGTTTAGGGTTTAGGGTTTAGGGTTTAGGGTTTAGGGTTTAGGGTTTAGGGTTTAGGGTTTAGGGTTTACGGTTTAGGGTTTAGGGTGTAGGGTTTACGGTTTAGGGTTCTCCTGAACTCTTGAGCCCCAAGCCTTCTATAATCCCGACAAACTCTACACCCCAAACCCTAAAAACGGAAACCCAAACCCCAGGTGCGAAAGCCCTAAGCTCAAAACCCCGCAAACCCTAGCACCCAAACCCGAAAAAGCCCAAAACCCCTGACGACTTCCATCAGGCCTTGAGCAACCAGAAGATCGAGTTGGTCCTCACCGCGCACCCTACCGAGGCGCAGAGGCGAAGTGCCCTGAAGAAGCACGAGGAGGGTGGAGGGTTGAGGGCTTAGGGTGTTTACGGTTTACGGTTTCAGGGTTTCGGGTTCTCAGGGGCTTTTGAGGAAGAATTTGATGACGTTCTCGCTGTTGGGGACTGTAAGTTGCTGACAACTTATATGCCAATGCGACAAAATCCGTGCGTTCACATCTTCGGAGAGCCGTTGGCCTTATTGTTGGACGTACTGATATTGAAAATGTTATCGCGGCGGCGGAGGTGATCTGTTTTGCGTTTTGTATTGGGGGGGGCGTGGGGGGGGAGTGGGGGGGTGTGGGGGGGGGGGGGGGGGGTGGGGGGCGCGCTAAACCCTAAACAACGTACTCTAAGCTCGAAACCCTGAAGAACCGCAAATAACCCTAAACCCCAAGACCCTAATTATAAATAACCCTAGCCTAACCTCTGGACCTTCACAGGGTTCTTGGGGCTTCCTTAAGGGAACCCTAAACCCTAAACCCTAAACCCTAAACCCTAAACCCTAAACCCTAAACCCTAAACCCTAAACCCTAAACCCTAAACCCTAAACCCTAAACCCTAAACCCTAAACCCTAAACCCTAAACCCTAAACCCTAAACCCTAAACCCTAAACCCTAAACCCTAAACCCTAAACCCTAAACCCTAAACCCTAAACCCTAAACCCTAAACCCTAAACCCTAAACCCTAAACCCAAACCCGAAACCCTAAACCCCAAAACCCTAAACCCTAAAACCCTAAACCCTAGACCCTAAACCTTGAAACAGCCCTTCAGGAGATGCTCAGCCACCTGCAGAAGTACGACGGCAAGGACTCCCTGACGCCCGGTCAGCTCCAGGGGCTGGATGACAACATCAAGGCTCTGGATTTCTCTCGACCTCCCCCTCCTCCTCAAAAAACCAAAAGAGTCCATAGACATGTATATGTATGTATGTATGTATGTATGTATGTATGTATGTATGTATGTATGTATTCGGTATGTAGGTATGCATGTATGTATGTATGTACGTGGAAATACACAAACTCAGAGATTGTATAGAGATATATGTCTATATATATATATGAGAGAGGGACCTTTATGTACTATGTTGCTACCTGTTTTTCTATATGTATAGAGAACGTATGGAAGAATTAAATGATTTGAATTATTTAAATTAGTTTTGAGGCTCGGGAATTTAAATAATTTAATTCTGTATTTAAATTAGTTAAATTAGTTTCCGGGCCCGCGAATTTAAATAATTTAAATCCCGAATTAAATTATTTAAATTCGCGGGCCTCAAAACTAATTTAAATAATTTAATTCGGGATTTAAATGATTTTAATTAGTTTCCGGGCCCGCGAATTTAAATAATTTAAAGAATCTAAATAGATCCAGATTTTCTCCCAGCACAGACCATTTAACTAATTTAAATAATTTAAATAATTTAAATAATTTAAATCCGGATTTGAATTATTTGAATTAGTTTTGAGGCCCGCGAATTTAAATAATTTAATTCGAGATTTAAATTATTTAAATTCGCGGGCCCGGAAACTAATTTAACTAATTTAAATACCGAATTAAATTATTTAAATTCACGGGCCTCGAAACTAATTTAAATAATTTAAATCAGGATTTAAATTATTTACATTATTTAAATTATTTAAATTATTTTAATTATCTAAATGGTCTGGGTTCGGAGAAATCCTCATTTTATTTGATGTTTTTAAATTATTTAACTTCGCGGGCCCGGAAAAGAATTTAAATAATTTAAATCCCGAATTAAATTATTTAAATTAGTTTCGAGGCCCGCGAATTTAAATAATTTAATTCGGGATTTGAATTATTTAAATTAGTTTCCGGGCCCGCGAATTTAAATAATTTAAAGAATCTAAATAGATCCAGATTTTCTCCCAGCACAGACCATTTAACTAATTTAAATAATTTAAATAATTTAGATAATTTAAATCCGGATTTGAATTATTTGAATTAGTTTTGAGGCCCGCGAATTTAAATAATTTAATTCGAGATTTAAATTATTTAAATTCGCGGGCCCGGAAACGAATTTAACTAATTTAAATACCGAATTAAATTATTTAAATTCGCGGGCCTCCAAACTAATTTAAATAATTCAAATCCCGATTTAAATTATTTAAATTATTTAAATTATTTAAATTATTTAAATTATCTAAATGGTCTGGGTTCGGAGAAATCCTCATTCTATTTGATTTATTTAGATTATTTAAATTCGCGGGCCCGGAAAAGAATTTAAATAATTTAAATCCCGAATTAAATTATTTAAATTAGTTTCGAGGCCCGCGAATTTAAATAATTTAATTCGGGATTTAAATTATTTAAATTAGTTTCCGGGCCCGCGAATTTAAATAATTTAAAGAATCTAAATAGATCCAGATTTTCTCCCAGCACAGACCATTTAGCTAATTTAAATAATTTAAATAATTTAAATAATTTAAATCCGGATTTGAATTATTTGAATTAGTTTTGAGGCCCGCGAATTTAAATAATTTAATTCGAGATTTAAATTATTTAAATTCGCGGGCCCGGAAACTAATTTAACGAATTTAAATACCGAATTAAATTATTTAAATTCACGGGCCTCGAAACTAATTTAAATAATTTAAATCAGGATTTAAATTATTTAAATTATTTAAATTATTTAAATTATCTAAATGGTCTGGGTTCGGAGAAATCCTCATTCTATTTGAATTATTTAAATTATTTAAATTATTTAAATTCACGGGCTCGGAAAAGAATTTAAATAATTTAAATCGGGATTTGAATTATTTAAATTAGTTTCGAGGCCCGCGAATTTAAATAATTTAACTCGGGATTTAAATTATTTAAATTAGTTTCCGGGCCCGCGAATTTAAATAATTTAAAGAATCTAAATAGATCCAGATTTTCTCCCAGCACAGACCATTTAACTAATTTAAATAATTTAAATAATTTAAATAATTTAAATCGGGATTTGAATTATTTAAATTAGTTTGGAGGCCCGCGAATTTAAATAATTTAATTCGAGATTTAATTATTTAAATTCGCGGGCCCGGAAACGAATTTAACTAATTTAAATACCGAATTAAATTATTTAAATTCCCGGGCCTTGAAACTAATTTAAATAATTCAAATCAGGATTTAAAATATTTAAATTATTTAAATTATTTAAATTAGTTAAATGGTCTGTGCTGGGAGAAAATCTGGATCTATTTAGATTCTTTAAATATTTTTTAAATTCGCGGGCCCGGAAACTAATTTAAATAATGTAAATCCCGAATTAAATTATTTAAATTAGTTTTGAGGCCCGCGAATTTACATAATTTAATTCGAGATTTAAATTATTTAAATTCGCGGGCCCGGAAACTAATTTAACTAATTTAAATACAGAATTAAATTATTTAAATTCGCGGGCCTCCAAACTAATTTAAATAATTCAAATCCCGATTTAAATTATTTAAATTATTTAAATTATTTAAATTAGTTAAATGGTCTGTGCTGGGAGAAAATCTGGATCTATTTAGATTCTTTAAATTATTTAAATTCGCGGGCCCGGAAACTAATTTAAATAATGTAAATCCCGAATTAAATTATTTAAATTAGTTTTGAGGCCCGCGAATTTAAATAATTTAATTCGAGATTTAAATTATTTAAATTCGCGGGCCCGGAAACTAATTTAACTAATTTAAATACAGAACTAAATTATTTAAATTCGCGGGCCTCCAAACTAATTGAAATAATTCAAATCCCGATGTAAATTATATAAATTATTTAAATTCGTTAAATTAGTTAAATGGTCTGTGCTGGGAGAAAATCTGGATCTATTTAGATTCTTTAAATTATTTAAATTCGCGGGCCCGGAAACTAATTTAAATAATTTAAATCCCGAATTAAATTATTTAAATTAGTTTTGAGGCCCGCGAATTTAAATAATTTAATTCGAGATTTAAATTATTTAAATTCGCGGGCCCGGAAACTAATTTAACTAATTTAAATACAGAATTAAATTATGTAAATTCCCGGGCCTTGAAACTAATTTAAATAATTCAAATCAGGATTTAAAATATTTAAATTATTTAAAATATTTAAATTATCTAAATGGTCTGGGTTCGGAGAAATCCTCATTCGATTTGAATTATTTACATTATTTAAATTATTTAAATTCACGGGCTCGGAAAAGAATTCAAATAATTTAAATCGCGATTTGAATTATTTAAATTAGTTTTGAGGCCCGCGAATTTAAATTATTTAATTCGAGATTTAAATTATTTAAATTCGCGGGCCCGGAAACTAATTTAACTAATTTAAATACAGAATTAAATTATTTAAATTCACGGGCCTCGAAACTAATTTAAATAATTCAAATCAGGATTTAAATTATTTAAATTATTTAAATTATTTAAATCATCTAAATTATCTAAATGGTCTGGGTTCCGATCTAAATTATCTAAATGGTCTGGGTTCCGAGAAATCCTCATTCTATTTGAATTATTTAGATTATTTAAATTATTTAAATTGACGGGCTCGGAAAAGAATTTAAATAATTTAAATCGGGATTTGAATTATTTAAATTAGTTTCGAGGCCCGTGAATTTAAATAATTTAATTCGGGATTTAAATTATTTAAATTAGTTTCGAGGCGCGTGAATTTAAATAATTTAAAGAATTTCAATAGGTCGAGAATTTCTCCGAGCCGAAACCATTTAAATAATTTAAAAATTTCACAAACTCAAATAATGTAAATAATTCAAATATCTTAAATCATTTAAATCTGGATTTGAATTATTTAGACTCTTTAGGGTTAGTAGCTTAAAACCCTATAGGGACCGGAAGGTATAATGATTTGAACTCTACAGCGCGCTTTTTTACATTAATATTAAAATAAAGTCTGGCGTCAGGTATGGTCGCTTTTGATTCTCACCATCGAATGCGCGGAGCCTACAGTGAATGCAGTGTTAACTCAACTCGGAGTACTGTTTTCGGTCTCCGGGAAAGCGGGGTACTGTTTTCGGTCCCTGAACACGGTGGTACTGCTTTCGGTCCACCGTCTCCCCCTCTCTTGTTTGTGTATTGTTATCTCGCCAACTGCACACTAAACAGCACAGACGACATGGTGGTACTGTTATCGGTCCACAATGTTGGTGCTTAAACTATTACAACAACATGAAACATATCATATTCTTTTTACATGTGCTGTAACTTCTAGGACATACATATGGCCGCGTGCCAATATTGATTGCTTGTAACAGGGCCGCGGCCCGCACACGCGACATACCCCATTACGGAGGCTATGCATCAACGGCCGGGGTTTTGCGACAGACGTGTTTGTTGTTGTCTGCAGGTTCCAAGTCTTGCTTATCCGGGTGTAAGTGTTCTTAAGTTTCAAAAAGCAAATATATATGTAACACTGAATTTTAAACCCCCCTAAACCCTTAAAGGCCGCGTATGTGGGGTGGTTCTAAGTCTTGCTTATCGGGGGGTAAGTGTTCTTAAGTTTCAAGAACAAATATGTATGTAAGACCGAATTTTAAACCCTCTTAAACCCTTAAAGGCTGCGTACGTGGGGTGGTGCTAAGTCTTGCTTATCGGGGGGGAAGTGTTCGTCAGTTTCAAGAAGCAAATATATATGTAACACCGAATTTTAAACCCCCTTAAACCCTTAAAGGCTGCGTATGTGGGGTGGTTCCAAGTCTTGCTTATCGGGGGGTAGGTGTTCGTAAGTTTCAAGAAGCAAATATATATGTAACACTGAATTTTGAACCCCTTAAACCCTTAAAGGCTGCGTACGTGGGGTGGTTTTAAGTCCTGCTTATCGAGGTGGTAAGTGTTCGTAAGTTTCAACAAGCAAATTGTAAACCCCCTTAAACC